TAATTGAAATATTATCATCTTGAATTTGAATAATGAGCATTTAAGTCCCTCATCTAAGCATTGTATGCATAATGACTAGTTGAAATATATTTTCCAATCTTATTAAATAAATATTTCTCAAAGTACTTGGCTTTCTTTGGTTACTATGGACAGATCTTACTTGTAAATGTAGTGAAATGTGTGCACATAAATCATGGTTACTTTGGTGCTGCAATATTAAAGCAGATATTTACTTTTACTTTACTTGTTAATGAAGGACAAATGATTAATTAAAATACCTATGTTATTCTTCTTTGAAATTTATAACACTTTTCCATACATCAGTATTTTATTATTGTTGCCATTTTACCAAGGTGGGAAATTGTACCTTGAAACAATTTTATATCATTACCATACATTAATTTTATATCACTGAAGAGATGATTGATGGAGAAGACTTGTGATAAATGTTCGATATTTTAACCAAAACGTTTATAAATTTTTCAAATTTTAACATCCATATATTAACATTGAGAGAATACAGATAATACCCAAGCGATAATTCTAAACACACCTCAGGTAAGTTGTAAAGTTATAGCCTGAATTCCCTCTGTGGAATAAGGAATAAAAAAACAAAATAAAATATGCCAATTTGGAAATTCCTGTATTATAATTAGCAATGGGACAACAGGGCTATACCAATTAACTGTTAAAATAATGCCACATGGAATTTCATATTTGCAGTGTGCCAAACACATAAGAAAATGTTAGTCTCTTTTATAGGACAAATACAAGTAAATATTCAAAATAAGGTATAAGTTAATAAAAATCTATAACTTGATATTGGAGTAAAATTTGTAGTTAGCAGAATTTTTGTCTAGTGAACAGTTAAGAATTGGGAACATTTAAAAATCTATAAGGAAGATTTTAGAGTTTCTTATCTAAGGTATTATGGTGGGAAAAGTACAATAACATACAGTTTCCTTTGGGGAAAGTATGAGAAAAAAATCATTTTATTGAAATATGGTTTGAGTAGCTAACACACTTCTGAGACAAGCAGTGTTCAGACTCTAATGGTAACCTCTATTTGAAGTGTAGAAAGAAGCTAATATAAGATAAAAATAGACATTTTTGAGCAAGATTTAAGAGCAAGAGAATATAAGAAAATTAAATTGCAAAAACAATTATGACACCAGAATTTAAGGTGAAAGCTTCCACAGAGTAAAATAATATCTCAAGTTTGAAGACCATTTGTTGAAAGAAATAACAAAAACTTCAAATTCTTTGAGCACAATTGTGTTAAATTTGAATGACAGTACAAAGTTGATAAATAAGGAATCTTCTGTATAGTTAATGAAGGAACACTTCAGTTATATAAACTATATGTAGAATTTCTTTTCATAATTGCTCTTTTTAAAAACGTCAGCAAACCTGTATCAATTAACACATATTCCCAATTCTAAGTATTAATTACATAAACTTAAGTATTAATTATGTAAATCAGGTCACTTTAATCAACTTTACTTTTACATTTTACATATTGTGAAAAATAGTGAACTTAGTTACTTGTTTCTTTTTCACTTTTTAATTTTTTAATTTTAAAGATGTGGGGTACAACTCAGGGTAGTTACTTGTCTTTGAAGACATATAGCCACTGAGATATTTATATAAAAATGGATTTGTTTGGTGAAGTCAATGGAGTTAATAAGCACATACTTGGAAAACATCATCATAAAAAGATTTATTTTTTAATGTTATTAATCAAAGAGCTGTGATATAACTTTCTGTAGATTATGAGCAATCTATTGGTTATTAAAATTTTTATGGTATAATTATTGCAATTTTATTATTTGTACACCCAAGTTAGCACATTATTTTGGAGCTGGAAGTGAGAGGGAGGTGGAGTGTGAGAACTTGTTACTCTCCTCAGAGAGTAGCTTTTATTCTTCTAAGTTTCGCTTTTCACCCCAGTTTCCATAATAATAATGAAAACAAATCTCTATGTCTAAATTAAATGTGAAATGTCTGAGTCGACATGCCTCTATCCTGTAATACCTTAAAATAAATTATTATTAATAAATAAAATTGTGCATCTTTTTATTCTTTCTGTAAAATAACTTCCACTATTGTTTCAAAAATGTAATATATAGATATCATACAAATTTATATATAAAATAATTTATTTAAGCAAGAGTTCTTTGAAAACTTCCTACATAACCTCCTTCCTTTAAATAATTAATGTCTCCCATCACAGTCATGTATTTTCTTTTTTATTTCTACCGTAGACAGAAGAAAAAGCATTAAGGTTGGAGTCAAACATTTGACTTGAAATTCTAGCTGTGTGGCATGTCTGATTTTCCTCCTCAGTAATCATGGGACAATATGATCTTCATTGATTTGTATTTGAACATTTATGTACACGTCTCACACCATGTATATCATATAAGTACTAGAAAAAGGTTAATTATCTCGTAATTATTTACTGTGTCCTGCTTTTTCCACTATAATATGAGTTATGAGAAAATTTATTCTCCTTGTTTGCATTTTAGTAATAACCACTATTGCAAATATTAATATATTTTTTGAAAGAATGACTACCAAGTCCATCTAGATCATGGCACATAAGTCTTTCCAGTAATGGAAAGCTATAAAAACAGTTATCTTATTATTATGTGTGTATGCATGTGTGCTTGTATGTGTATTCACTCGTCTCCTGATGCCAGCTTTAACTCTTATATGCTCAAGATTACAGAGGGGGGAAGAAACTCCCCAGCAACAGAATGTTGAGGTTTAACAGGAGAAAGCATTGCTGCATTGTTCATTAACCTGTCAATTATCTGCCCTTTTAAGTGTCTGTCTTTAAGTATCTGTCAATTATTTTGTGCGTGTAAGTTTACAGCCTGTGCAACATAGCGAGATCCTGTCTCTAAAAAAAAGTTATTTTAAATTAGCAGTTGCTTTCAAAATTTATTTTGTGAAAGATTTATACACAATTGAGAATAGTTTTGCAGGTTTTCTTGCAAGTGAAAGTTTGATAAGAGAAAACAAAATGAAAATGTTGCACACGATTTCTTTTCACATAATGTCTGTTTTATCTCAACCACAAATATTGTTTCTTGTCAATGTTTTTTTCTATATGTAAATAAAAATGTTGTGAGATTACCTAGGATGAGCTTCATTTTTTAATAATATCTGTGAAATTAAAAAGAAAATCTTTATATATATATTGTGTCCAGTATAGTGCTGTAGGATTTTATGTATACAATAATAATCAACAAATAATTTTTACTTATATTACCAAATTATCTTGATTTTGCTTCTTATTGGTTCATATTAAAAGGATGAGTAGTATAAAATGAAAACTAATGAGATTTATAATTGCTAAAGCATATAGCACTTACCAAATGCCTATACTGTTCGGGGCAACTTTTATATATTTTGTGTAATTTAAAATTATAAATTTTAACTCACTGAATGTTCATGCAACTATATGAATTAAGTAATATTCCTTTCCACATAACAGATAAAGAAACTGAGACAGCATAGGGTTAAATGACTTTCCCAGGTCACAATGCTAGCAGAACTAGTAATTGAGATTAAGTTGTCTAGCTCCAGAATCTGTGTTCTTAACTACCATGCTATAAATAACAATATCAACAAGTCTGATTAATTAGTGTAATTTGGCCTTATAATAAGGGCAAGTAATTCAGAAAGACTTTGGTTTTTATGTTGGCAGAATAGAACTTATTAATACATTCTTCACTAAATTAGTAAGAATATTCATTTTCAGAAAATTTTTAAGTTTTAGTCTCAAAATCTGGAGTGGTTGAAAATACATATCAATCACTAGAACAGAAAAAAAGTAAAGCATGATAGAAGGAAGAAAGGAAGGGAGGGTGGGAGGTAGAAAGAAGGTGAGTAGAAAGAAGGAAAAAGAAAAGAAAAAAGTAGAAAAGTCGAAAGAAGGAAAAAGGAAGGTAGGCACAATTTGTACTTGATTGACCAGTTTGAAAGTTGCTGATGGTGAAAAATGGCATTTTCGAAATTTGGGCCATGTTTCTTCAGTATTTTGGCTTCCTAAGATAAATCCTAAAATTTTAATCGTAGGCAACTATATCAGTTTGGTTCAATAAAGTGACTTTTTAATGCTTAAAAGTGTTCATAACTTCCATACACATTTAATACCTTTAAGCAGTTTTCCTTATCTTAAATCACAAGATTCTGGGGAATAGGTTGCATGTTTCTTCACTACTGTGTTGTAGTCTGTGTTTCTAGCCCATTGCTTTGTATTCCGGTGGGCACTCAATTATCCTCTGTTGAATGAATTAATTATATTTGAGCTGCATTTTAATTTAGTTTGTATCTATATATTTGGCATTAAAAATAAGTTGTTTAGAATAACAAAAAGGAAACATTTTGGTATAATAGTCTATACTTAAGCATAAATAGTAATTTAGGTAATACCTTGCCTGGAATTTAGACAATCAAACAAAAAAGGTATCAGTTTTTGCAAACAAAAATCTATGATGTTCACAGATCTTACAAAGATACTTAGAAAAGTAATATGATTAATATGTGGAATAATTTACAAATGAATATTGGAGCCTGAAATGAAAGGAAGACACATGCATTTCATATTTGTTTTAAACTAATTCATGGTAGTAGTGACATATGAAAATATTTTTACTATTCTAATGTTAGTAAAACATGTATTTGTGGAAAATACATGTCCAAATTGAGCTCCAAATCTCTTATACATGTTAAAACTGTATATTCAAGTTAATTTGTCCAGTAGATACAGAATTGTTTATTTCATTCATGGTTGGGGCTGAATATAAACATTATCAAAATACATGCATAAATAATGTCTTTTAGATTACTTAATTATTATGTGATGCTTGTATTCATTAACATGAGGAAAGGAGGCAGAATACAGTTCTCTCAGACAGGAAATAAGCTTTCAAGAAATTAAGAATACCTGTGTTTGATAACCCCCCTTTTTTTTCTCTCTTTTTTTGCAGGTTTCAGATTTGAGATATTGGTGTTTCTGATTTTGAGGAATTTTTCTTTTTAATTTTGTTTGTTAAATCATCGGTCTTAGAGTACTGAAGAATCAGAAATACACCTATTTTGTTTCACGTTTGAACACGAATTTTTGAGGAACTCTCACACCTGAGTACACAGCCATGTGGCCATCACAGCTGCTAATCTTCATGATGCTTTTAGCACCAATGGTTCATGGTAAGACCTTTAAGGAGATTTTTGTTTAATGCCTAATGTCTCACTTATTCATACTAGACCCTTTCTTCGAAATCTTTACTCAGATTCTTTAGCTTTTACTTACCACATAATAGTATGAGTAATTTTAAATGAAAAAAGATAATAGGTACTTTAAGCTGCAATACTTCTGACTTCTGAGTTGGATTTTTTAAATATTGGACTATATTTATAACCAAGGGACTTTTTAAAAAATAACTTTTGCATGCTTTATTTTATGTTTTTACTACACTTAATGGAGGGAAATCAGGTGGATTATTAATTATATCATTTATTGTGAATTTTTTGACATATATTTTTAAACTTAAAAATTATTTAAATATAGTTATTATGAACTTTTGAAAGAAAATTCCAAAAGAATCTGCTCTTCAAATCCAAGTAATTTTTTTCTGAGTGTTTATGACTCTGTGCAATCTTTAACACACAGAATGTAAACTAAAAACTTTTGGTAAAGAGAAATTGTTTCTGTAATATATCTTTGAATAAAAAATAAAAATAAGCCCCAAACTTAAACAACCTGACAACAAAATAACACAAACATATGCTTTTACTATCTAAAGAAAGGTAATTTTACAGAAGCATGTGAAAATATTCATAATAGACTTGTATAATGTTGTTCATTTAGACATTACTATTTACAACACAAATATGATAGTTTAGAAAGAATGTAAATTTTTTTACATTTAAAATTTTCCAAAATTTATTAAATATTTAATCATTCAGTACATAAGCAAAACTTATTTATGTTTTGCTCAACTTAGTGTAACATTCACTATCTCTCAAAAAACTGGTATTCTATATGTATGTTCCTGTTTTAAAATTTTAAAAGTTTTCTCTAGTTATCACTAATTAATTATCATTGATTTTTCACTAAGATGAAGGTTAGTAACGTGTGAATCACTATCTCATATGCTGATGGTAATTATAGCAGGACAAAAAGGGACACAGCTGTATTTGCCACTGCTTAGTAGGCTTCAGAATGGTATAGTGTAGCAAACAGCTAAAATGAATTTTTTTAGCTTCTGTAGGTTTCTTTTGGTTTTTAATTGACTACAAAACCCCACTGTAGTTTATCAATGATGTAATTCCAAATTTGTCCTCAGTCTTAAGTTTCAATGTGAATTGCATTCTGCTGGATAAAATAACTTCTGTCCTGAAGTTTTCTGATAAAGTTCCTCCAATTTAACATATTTGGTTCTAATAAATCACTATAAAATAGAGATGTTTTTTAAAATGAGAATCAAATCCTACTTATGCAATCACTTTGTTATAAGCAATGAAAATTTGTCAAAAACTGTAAAATATTTTCTTAATTCACATACTGATACATTTGCATTCTGTACATTGGCACATATAAAATTTTGTAATATGAGACAATAAAATAATATCACTTTAAACAAATGATCTTCTAATTATTCATATATCTAAAGGTGATTTTAGTTAATTTTTTGTGTTAAAAAATACTCCCATTACAAAGTTGTTCGGAGGATAAAGTGAATAGCATATATAAAGAATTCAAAACATGACAAATATAAAGTGTTTCAACATGTTAATTTCTTCCTCATACAATCTATCCCTCAGTTTATCTTTGTTCTTTTAAACTATAACAACCAGGTATTAGCTAGCTATGAGAGCTAGCTTTAGCTAATAAGAAAAATCATTTAGTGTTGATTCTCAGGGGAAAAAAAGTATATATATATTTAGACATACACAATTCATGTTCAATAGGTTGATCTAAACTTACCCTTGTTAGAGGAAGTTAGGTTAAAAATAGAAAAAATAGATATTGTAAGAAAGATTCTCTTTTCAGAACTGAAATTTATGGTCCTCAAAACTGCTATATATTTCAGTAGAGATCAAAAAGGTTGAGCCAGGTCATGGTTCTTGGTTTAGGGTCTGGTAGTTTGTATTGAACAAACACGCACACATATACCCACACACACACGCAAATATATCTTCAAGTAACTGAGAAGTATTTAACAACCTCTATAATGATAGGGCACATAAAAAATTGACCAGGTATGTAAAATATTTGGGCCTGAAATTGAAGTAATCCTTTCCATTTTATACATACTACTTATTATTATCTTGAATTTTTAACTATAGTCGAATAACAATATAGAAGCTTTCTATTCATAAACTTTATCCTCATTACCTTCCATGGTATTTTAAACCTTTGCACCTGAGAAAATGCAAGTCTATTTTTCCTGTCTTCCTTAGAAGCCCTTCCCATTTGCCTTCGTGATACCACTTCTGACTTATGAATGAAGAGCTTTATGAACAGCCTTTAGAAACCCAACTTACTCATAAATAGAGAAATGTACCTTTGATCAAATGCTGAAATATAATAGGATAGGAATTTTTAGAGTCCCCGTCAATCCTGGCTTAAAAGAACACTGCATACCTTGAAACCTTTGATGACTGAGTTAGAAAGTATGTCACAGTAATAGAAGTACCTTTGTTTCTAAAACATCCTCTGTTGACATCTCCTTGCCTACTGCTGTTGAGATGTCCCGCTTTATTTGCCCTCTAGATGACTGGGTATTAACTTTCCTAAATAATGACTTGGATTGCTGTCTCTTTCTCCAGCGCAAATAATAATGATTACTACTGATTTTACATTCATAATCCTTAGATATATTCGTTCATTTATTCCTCACAATAAACTCGTGGATTTTTTTATTATTTGTTATTATCATTATTATTAACTTTTTATAAATAAAGACATTACAGTACCAACTGTAAAGTAAATTGACTGAAGTCACATAGCTATTAAGTGACATAGAAGGGATTTAAAAATCAAGGACCTGGCTTCTTGAGTTCTGCTCTTGCTGTCAACATATACCCAGTTCCTATCAAAGCCATTCCTCTCTACATAGAATCTCTTCTCAACTCTCCTGATCAGTTGGGAGCAGGTGGGACAAAAACATTGGTTGTCTGCCTCTTCTATATTATTGGGACAGACAGACAGATTTAAAATTTCAGCTCTGCCACCAACTAGCTCTGTAACCATGTTTCTCTGTAAGCTAGTTAGTCAATATTATATATTACCCACTATGAGTCAGAAAACTGTGATGGATGCTAAAAATATGATAGTGAACAAAAGACTCATATTTCTTCCCTCAAGGAGCTTACAATAACTTTAAAAATTGTAAGCCTATTTTTTCATCTGCAAGAATGAATATTTATCCCTGGCAGGGTTATTTTAAGAAATGGATAGAATAATATATTTATAACTTCTAACACAGTACTTTGGCATTTGGTAAAATCTTTAATTTTTTTTTACCCTTTACTTTGAAATAGAACTAAACTTCTGGGCACTAGGTATGAAAATTCATATTCTTTTTTTCATCCTGAGAATGGAAAGGAATCTTTTCAACTCAAACGTCAGTATTTAACTTTTGCCAGATTTTCTAAATGATAGTCTCTAAACAAAATCATTATCAATATTATTACTGTCTAAACAAAACTATTATCAATGTAATTAATAGCAAAACAAAATTATTACCATTATGTAGGAATGCTTAAATCAGCCTTTTAATTTGTGACATATAATTACTAATGATGTATTTTTGCATAATCTCTACATGGATAAAATTAGAAACTAAGCTAAATAATTAATTCTGATAATGTTTATGTTAACTGAATAATCTCTATATTACCCTAGAAAGTCTGGCCACATAGGAGAACAATATTCATCAGTGCCTCAATATTGTGTATATATATATGTATATGTATATATATATATATACACACACATACATACATACACACTGTTTTTTTAAAATCAGAAAATGTTTCTGGTTCTGTGTTTATCTGTCCATATTCTATGTCTCTGTGTATCTCTGTATTTCTCTTTTTCTGTTTTCCATGACTGTCCCCTTCCTGTGGAGCCATAAAACACTTATCTATAATGCAATGAGACCTGGCAGAAATAAAGAGAGCAGCTTAAGCAGATGGCCAGTACTGTGCTGGCACTACTGTGATGCTGTATAAAGATAAAGGATTCTTTTTCTGTTATTGTATTGATGTGGCTAGGAGTAAGGGTAAAGGAATAAACTGGAGAACAATAACCTAGTGACACTATGGGTGCTTGGGGATCATTTTGATGGGCAGTAAAGGAGTATCAGTGTCCAGTGCAGGACCTTCAGCTGGAGATCTGTTCCTGAGAGGTAACAAACCACAATGGAATGGGAGTTTAGAAAGTGATTGTGGTGGCCAAGTATTTTAATCACATCTCAGCTTAGATAAACTTCACTTATCACTGAGTCACCATTGGAAAGATGACTCATTCTTATAGAAATATCTTTATTAGAAAATATCTTTACGAGATACCATTGTTAGAAAGCAGATTCATTAGAACTTACTATGAGTAGTGAGGAGTAATATTTTTTATAGGGTCTTCACAGAAAAAATAAATTTTTTAAAAAATTCTTCTAAAAACACCTTAGGCATGTTTTCCCTCCTCAAGTCTATTGCTAAAATTGCATCTGTATTTATATATTCATGGGCTTTACTGACTAATCTGCTTTTTTATTATGCTGAAGAAGTTACTTATAATAAACAGTACTTACTGGGGACAAAAGAATGATCAGATGCATATACATTTAGTTCTTATATGTTTTTATATAATTTTTATATTGTCATTAATCTATTTTTACAGTTATACTAATATATTAATGATTTAAAATTATAGCTATTTTTTAACTTCTAATAAGATGTAAAACTTGAAAAAGTACAAAATTATATTTTGTTTTATAGCATTTTCCCATATAATTCTTTCTATGAAGACATGTTTTATTAGTTGTGAGGCAGGTTGACTTCTAAGATCTTTTTAACTTTGTTACTTTTAGAAATTAATCATCCTTGAAATGTTTATAATGTTTGCCAGCCTAGGTAATTTGTAATATCTACAGTATTATAACTATTTTTATGGTCAAATATATTATACAGTAAAAATCTAT